GGAGACCGCCCGCGGGGGGCCGCGACCGCGTGGCAGCAGGGAAAATGGCCGCGGATCCGGTTCGTAAGTAGAAGCGGAGTTCGCAAGTAGAAGTAAATTTTTGGGGCCGGAGCTGGTCGTATCTTGAAAAATTCGTAAGGAGGGGCGTTCGTAACTAGAGGTACCACTGTACTTACTAATATGGGAATGAAGCCCAGTGGAATTTAACTGAACTTGCATGTTGTTATTCTATACTCAGAAGTATGAGTTCAAAGGGTTCTTTCAAGTCAAGTAGTACAGCAGTGTAGAGGATTATATGGTTTAAACTTTGCAAACAATATTACCAGTCACTCAGAGAGAAACAACATTTCTGGCAAATTATTTTTGGCTTTCCTCTTAAATATGTGTTTGAATACTAGAAGCTGCTGACAATCCTTAGGCCTCAGCTGATCTTGCTGCGTTGACTCCCCTTATAAAGATTATATCCTTGTTCCAAAATGGAAACAACAGGAAGTATATAAACCTGCAGGAAATTTAAGGTGGGACTTAAATTAAGAGAATTATCTGTTTGGTCAGCCACTGTAAGAATGAAGGTAGGTGAGCCAAATGTGGAAAGTACTCTTAAATTGCTTGGTCTTGCTTTGAGATCAACATCTAATGTAGCTCTTGCTTAGGCCTTTCCATCAGAGGGTGAAGCATGACTCAGAGTTTACTTGTATCTTTATCTTGTTGGCCTTCATTGTTAACACTGATTTCTACTTCTTAAAGGAATTACAGAGCTAGCCTACTATGCCTTTGCTAATGCAAGGGTATTTCCTGCAGTGATTGGAGGAAAGAAAATTCTTGCTATGAATAGCAGAACTATTTAGTTTAGGTCACAATCCAGTGTGCTTTGCCTCAACTGGAATCTATTGTCTCATATTGATTGCACTGCATTTCAGTGGATGTTTTTGGAATGTCCTTTTTCTGTACCGTGTTTGCTGAAGAGGAGAGGTTTTATTTTTAGTAGCTTGGATCAGCAAATCTTCCTCTGGATGATCTTGGGGGAATTCTAATTTACAGCAGGCATGCAGCCATTTGAACTGCCTAACCCACCACTCCTCATCTATAGTTTCACTTTATTAATAGCAGCAAGCAGGACTAAACAAATTTAGGACATTTCCCAGTGAAATCATATCTGAAAAGTACTCAGCTTTCATGTAGTCACTTTGGAAAAAATGCTTCTTTCTTGAACAGATATTTTTTAAGGAATGTCAAGTTCTTCTTAGAAAATCCAAAAACTTAATCATAATTCATTCTTTCATGAGAGACACACAGGCAAGCACTAAATTGCCTTCAATTGATTTTTCTCCTCCTTTGAAGTCACCAATAGGATATCTTCATTCTATCTCTTACACAAGCCATATATAACTACACTCAATTTCTTGTACACTGAGAAGCTTGCATCCAGAACTAAATCACTTAATAATTCAGCATATTAAAAAAAAATCAGAACAAAACATAATGATACTCTCTTCTCATTCCTTCCTATGTAGTAAGAACGCTATTGTAGACTGTTACCTGAACCTTTATTAGAGTCTTGGATGTTAAACCTGGTACATTTTGCACACACATTAAAGGTTCTGTAACTCAGCCCCTCCCTATGTGTATTCATAAAAAACAACACTAATGTTTGGCAGCCAAAATTGCATCTCAGGGTTCTGGAGAGCCACAGCTAGCCAGAATAAAGGGTACTCAGATCAGTAGATAAATAGCATTAGTACAGAAGGTAGGTGATTTTTCTTGTTACTGTTTTTGTTTTGCTATTGCTAGGCTATTGCTGTTATCTAACCCTAGGATCCCTCCTGTGGTTCCTGAGGGCACCAGTGTGACAGTAGTCACCTCCCGTTCATTTTTAATAAAATTGAAAAGGAAGCTGGCATGCTGCAAAGCGAAGTACCAGTCTCAGGAATCATTATTTCCAAGAACTTCCTTAGATTTCATGTAAGTTCCATAAATAATTTTAGAAAGTAAAAATGGTGGATAGCTGCAGCTGACAACTATGGTTGTAAATATGCCCATTACTCCAGACAAAAAAACAAACTGAGTTTAGCATTATCAGTTTGGTTTCTGGCAAGGTCAGGTTTGAAGACAAATATTTTAAGTGTTTATGCTTGTCTACAACAGCCGTTTTCTTTAAGTGGGCACAATATATCCTCAAAAGTGTTGGATGTCACTGTACTGGCCCAAAAGGTTGCGGTGTGGAGGGAGGACATTGGTTTAATCCAACACTTACCAAAGTAGCAGTTCTACAAAGTATTGAGCTCTTTTCCCTGGTTTTGAGATCTTTCCACAGATTCTTTAGTTAGAAACGCTAGAAAATCAGCTTTGTTCAGATGAGATGTGTTTGAACTATGAACCTCTCCCCATTTTGTATATTGATCACATGCTGTGAAACAACAGTTGCTTGCTGTCCTCCTGCCTCTGTATGTTAAACAGCAAAAAGCCCAAGTATGGGATTAAATTTGATCATTTCAGTGCAAGTTTCATAATATTTGTGCACCCTGAGATCAAGGGATGTTTCATCATGTAAAGTTGCCCTGTTAAAAGCATGCAGTAACACACTTAAGAAACCTTTTTTAAAAAATTGGTTTTCTGCAGAGGAAAACTTTAGAAATGCCTTTCCCAGATTTGCATGCAAAAGATTAACCACATTTCTTTCTGTGCCAACATTCTACTTTCTATTGCACAACATGAAAAAGATAACACAAATTTAAAAGTTGTAAATAGAGGTTGGAAAATATTTCTTTCAGTAGACCCTTATTCTTTCATGCATAATCTCTAAGGGACCAACAATGGGTAGAGATAAAGTCAAATTATGGAAGAGCTACTTTCTGTCTCTTTCTCTCTCTATATATCTTTGTCCAACAAGCCACTATGGAAGAGCTATAGAGGGGCATTTGAAATGTTGCTGAAATCTACATGAGTACCATTCCTTTTCTAATATGAAAACAGAATTAAAGAAATGTAATGCAATCTCTTCTGTCCCTAGAAAGAGTCCTGTAGAAATATAGATCTTGGTTAGAGGGCAGAACATTTTTTTTCTCTCTCCAGATATTTCTTATAGTTCCAGTTTAGCACTTTCTTGCCTTGACATCTCTATGGGAAGCCATAGGTGTCTATAACAGGCCATGATGACATCAAAATAACATGAATGACTCAACTATATAATGATGTCATGCTGTTTTACGCTATGCAAGTTGCATCATTTGTATGATGTATATTTTCTTATATCCCCATTGTCCCAACCCTTCTCTATCCCCTGCAGACAACTATGTGGGAAGTTGCTACCTTGGTGCAGCATTATAAGTATTATCTTTCATTTAATGGAATTAGTAAAAAAGCTAGCCACCTCTCTTCAGAGGCTTTTGATCTAGCAGAAATGTTTTTATAAATAAGATATTTATAAGTGATAGTTTAATCATAGTAGCAGTAACTGAACTCAAAATGTTGCTTTTCTACAGAATGGTTCCAACTCAGAAAAATGCTATCAATGCAGTGTTGTACTTCTTTTGCAAGATTACAGTAAGCAGGTCTTAGGAAGAAGCTAAATTAATTATTCAAGTTAAAAGAGAGGGACTAATATATATTGGGACTACAGTAAGTGAAAAGAAAGGACTCCATCCTCTTTTTTCCCAGAAGCTAGTGTTTGCGCTGGAAATAAATGGTTCATTAAATTTAATAGGGATTACTCACTAAAACAATACTACTGTCATGCATAGCTGCAGCTATTTGCAATATAAAAAGCCCCGTGTATAAGTTCATTGACACATTTAACGACACATCTGGTTTGGCCTTTAGACCATTATATTTAAGTCAACATTGGGTAGGCCATTTAATCAAGATGCCCAGTTGCATCTTGACAATCCCTAAGAATTTCCTGTCTTGGCTCTAAGAATAATCTATATGGAACACAAAGGCAGTCGTCAAACCTTTTCACCACACCAACTCTGTCCAGACCACATGTAGGAATCACTTATATCTTTGGCCTGCTAAATTATTATGTACACGGAATCACTACAGTTACAAACAATTATGGTTGCAAGTCTACACTCCATTTACTGAGATCATATTGAATTCATTTTAGACTTCCAGAGACAGAGCAGCACTATAAATTCAGAAACACCTGTGGTATTAGCATTTGTGCTTATTGTAAAGAAAAAAATATATTAAATGGCATTAAAGAACACTGCTCTTTTTCAATTTATTTACAGGCAGATCTTTAAATCTAATACTCAGAATCTTTGACATTCTTCATGAGAACCATATTGTGCTGTCTGTGTGGAGAACAGAGGCAACAAGGGCCAGGGGGCATATTAGGAAGATATATGCCTTCTTGTATAATAGAGTAAGGGTAGGCTGGTATGTATCCACAAAAGGAGGCGAGTCTCCAAAATGATATCCCAATGGAGACATGGGTAAGCAATATGAAAATGAAATTCTGCAAGGGCAGATGTGTCAGAAGTACAAAATGGTGGATAGGCGTATACAGAAGTCTGTTTTAGAGTGAGATTTTGACCTTTAACATAATTAGGGATGAGATGAGGTAAAAAAAAAAAAGAACTTTGCCTTATAAAATACACTAATGAAGACAGGCTCCAAAGTTTGAGAAGGACTTTGATTTTTTGTTAGATTTGATTTGAGGAGTATGATTCAAAAAGCAGATTGACAAACTGGAAAGGTTGGCTCAAAAGATAAAATCTTGGACATAAAACACAGTGGGAAACTGGTTATGTCTGCTTAGGTAAGAGATGACTAAGGAGAAGGGTATGT